ACTGTCCTTGTCTCTGTTATTCGAAGAGTCTTTTTGACACAAGAATGGTTACAGGTTAGTACTATTACTTTGCCTCTGTTCTCTGTGTCATAGGGTACAACTAAAAAAAATTCTCTGAGGCATGGAGTATAAATTAACTCTTTTCCTTTATCTGAGGAATGGTGATAAGAAGTATCTCATGTTTTCTGAATTTTTAATGAAAAACTCATCTCTCCTGTGGTCAGGACTAAAGGTACTTCATGTTAGATACAAAAATAATGAAGTTTTCGGTGGTTAATAATCTGGAAAATAGCTGGAGTGCTCCCGTAAAATTAGGCAAACTTAGGGACTCTTGTAGGGCTTGCATTTCTTTAGTTGTAATTTCGATCCTGTTTGAGAGATGTCTCTGGATGAACCTTCATACGAATTACACCTATAGTGTCCAAAGATAATAGCATGACTTATTTGGGTCTATTAGAAAGGCTATTTATACTTGTGAGTGAAAAAAAACCCAAACATTTCTACGTGTTTATCTACTTTATCATTGTTTAATATATTAATATATTAACAACATATAAGTTTATGGCTACTTAATATAAAATAATTCATCACACATCTTCCAAAGTACTGATCTCATTCTAGCTATTGTGGGATGATATGGTAATGAAGATGCAACTGCATGTTACAGGCTTTAAAATCGTTTTACATTTAAGGACATTAAATTCTGTGGTCCAGGTGCTGGGAATCTTGCTTCTTCTTAGAGTCAAGTAACTTACTAAAAGGCCTTAGACAAATCACCATGGTATGAAGGAAAGTTAACATGGACTCTCAAAGCACTACCTGGGCTCCGTGAGGACACTAAGATTATTGTAAAGATAAGTTAGATATCAGAGATGGGAAGGAAGTTGAATAGTAAAGGTAATAACTATAACTATTATTGATATTTATACAATTAACCATTCTGAAGTTAAGAATAAATTAAAAAGAAACAAATGAATTAGAGAAACAGAAAACATTTCACTGACCCTAGAAAGTAAAGAGTGAAATTATTTTTGTTTTTTTCTGTAAATCTTTGGATGACTTTCTTTACTATCTATTCATCAGCTCTTTGGGTAAGAAAGTTGGACTAACTGCAAAATCCTTTACATTCTAGTGTGTTTGGAATTTAATATTTGGGGAAAGAGCTCCATTTCTATAGATAATTGCAGCCTAAATTACCTACCAGATATATTAAACACCTTTTGGTAGCAAAGGAGCTTCTTAATTGCATCTTTCATATCCTTATTTCTCAGGCTATATATATAATGGGGCTCAAAAAGGGAGAAAATGCAGAGAATGTCATAGCGATAGTGGTATCCAAGAACGGTGTATAAGTAGCAGTGAATCTAAGATACATGAGGGCCACACAGCCAAAAAACAGCAGGAAGACAAAGACAGTGATGTGGGCAGCACAGGAGAAAAAGGCCTTTTTGTGGCCCTCAACCAAAGGGATGCCCAAGATAACAATGATAATTCTGATGTAAAAAAGAGAAGCAATCAGACCTGTTAATAGAATGCAAAGAGCATGAATCACATCTTGTGCCAGGATCATGGAGGCATCTGTACAAGCTAAATTCATTAAAGGGATGAAATCACAGAAGATCTGATGGAGTTAGTTGGGACCACAGAAAGGCAGGGTGCCACCTTCCTGGAGCTGGGGGAACCCAGTAGATAAGTACAGTCACTGCTGGTAGGTTTCCACTCTCTATGCCCACAGCAGAGCTACTTGTGAATGAGTGAGAAAGCGAGAGGGCATGTCCAACTAACAGAAAAGGAAATAAATACTGTGTAAATGTAAATATAAAATTTGATTGTTGGTATATTATGTTTTGACATTTCCCAGATTCAAACTAAGCTATAACTAGCCTATA